TTTTCACATATTCACTTTGTTTGTGTAAATTCGCACTACTTACATATTTATTCACCTGGAGTTAGCCATTTCTGTTTTCCATTTTTGTTCTCAAAACACCAGTGGTTTGGATTTTGCGACCTTCTTGGCTACAAGAAAATAGGGAAAAATGGCCAACACAAGAGACAGACNGAAAAAAGGGTGCACGTTCATGCAACAACATCGACAGACAAAATCAATGACATTCTTGACCGGTTTTCTAGTTTACCGAGGGCTTTGAGGGTGATATCTTATATATTGCGTTTCTTTCAAAGAACCCATCCGAAGACAAAAGCTTCTTTTCAGTCGGAATCTTGCTTAATTTCATCTAATGAAATTAAATCAACGACTTCTCGCCTGATTAAATTTTCTCAGAAGCAACATTACGGAGCAGAAATCGCAAAACTGAAAACTAAAGAATGTATTGAGTCTAAGAGTTAAATACTTCCTCTTAATCCATTTCTGGATAAAGATGATGTGCTGCGGACGGGGGGTCGTCTTGGCACATCTCTGGATCTAGCGTACAACGAACGGCATCCCGTTATACTCCCATACAATTGTAGATTATCCCGTCTGATTGTCCAATTCATCCATGAAACTTCTCTCCATNGAAACTGAAAACTAAAGAATGCATTGAGTCTAAGAGTGAAATACTTCCTCTTAATCCATTTCTGGATAAAGATGATGTGCTGCGGACGGGGGGTCGTCTTGGTACATCTCTGGATCTAGCGTATAACGAACGGCATCCAGTAATACTTCCATACAATTGTAGATTATCCCGTCTGATTGTCCAATTCATCCATGAAACTTCTCTCCATGGTGAGAATCAACTAATGTTGCGTCTCATNGAAACTGAAAACTAAAGAATGCATTGAGTCTAAGAGTGAAATACTTCCTCTTAATCCATTTCTGGATAAAGATGATGTGCTGCGGACGGGGGGTCGTCTTGGCACATCTCTGGATCTAGCGTACAACGAACGGCATCCCGTTATACTCCCATACAATTGTAGATTATCCCGTCTGATTGTCCAATTCATCCATGAAACTTCTCTCCATGGTGAGAATCAACTAATGTTGCGTCTCATACGAACGCAGTATTGGATTCCGAAGGTGAAAACAATGGTAAGGTCCACAATCCATAACTGCAAGATCTGCACTATNCCATACAATTGTAGATTATCCCGTCTGATTGTCCAATTCATCCATGAAACTTCTCTCCATGGTGAGAATCAACTAATGTTGCGTCTCATACGAACGCAGTATTGGATTCCGAAGGTGAAAACGATGATAAGGTCCACAATCCATAACTGCAAGATCTGCACTATCTATAAAAAACGCGCGCAAGGCCAACTTATGGGGATTCTTCCACAAGAGCGAACAACTTTTTCGCGACCATTTACCAATACTGGGGTGGATTTTGCTGGACCATTCGACATTAAGAGTTATCGTGGAAAATGCTGCTAAAAACGATTGAGTACTCAAATCGCTTGTGGCCTCTAAATGAATGGCCTTGGTAGAAAAGCAGACAAATAGACACACATAACCCTTTGAAATTCGGCAGCCTCGTATGGAAGTATTACTGGATGCCGTTCGTTGTACGCTAGATCCAGAGATGTACCCCCCGCCCGCAGCACATCATCTTTATCCAGAAATGGATTAAGAGGAAGTATTTCACTCTTAGACTCAATATATTCTTTAGTTTTCAGTTTTGCGATTTCTGCTCCGTAATGTTGCTTCTGAGAAAGTTTAATCAGGCGAGAAGTCGTTGATTTAATTTCATTAGATGAAATTAAGCAAGATTCCGACTGAAAAGAAGCTTTTGTCTTCGGATGGGTTCTTTGAAAGAAACGAAATATATATGATATCACCCTCAAAGTCCTCGGTAAACTAGAAAACCGGTCAAGAATGTCATTGATGTTGTCTGTCGATGTTGTTGCATGAACGTGCATCCTTTTTTCCTCAATGCTCGTGGTGAAGTCTGTCTCTTGTGTTGGCCATTTTTCCCTATTTTCTTGTAGCCAAGAAGGTCCCTGCCACCACAAAGAATTTTTGACCAATTCGTTCGCCAGTATGCCTCTGCTTGCTAAATCTGCGGGATTCGTAGCTGAATCGACGTGAAGCCAGTTCAAGTTCCCTACTTTGTCTATGATTTTTGTAATTCAGTGGGCAACGAAGGTTGACCACGAACATGGGGACTTGCGTATCCAAGCCAGAACAATCGTCGAATCAGTCCACAGATGTATGTTTAGGTGGCCTAATTCCAAGTTTTTGGTGATTTATTCGACTATTTCTGACAGTAATACCGCCCCGCAAAGTTCTAATCTAGGCAAGGAGATTGTTTTGACTGGCGCTACTCTTGTTTTGGCTAATAGCAGATTTACAAGTACTTTATCCTCTTTTTTCACGCGTAAGTAGACGGCGGCAGCGTACGCTTTTTCGGATGCGTCGCAGAAACCGTGAATCTCTACCTTTTCCTTTGGTGAGAAAGATACCCACAGTGGTATCCTTATATTATTGATTTCCTGATAATTTTTCGTGAAATTCTGCCATCTATATAGTGTTTTTGGGGACAACGTCTCGTCCCAGTCTGTGCCCTCTAACCATATGCTCTGCATAAGTATTTTCGCAACAACTATCATTGGAGCTAGCCAACCTAACGGGTCAAAGAGTTTAGATGGCTGATAATATCGCTCTCTTCGTTGGATTGACGTTATCTTCTATTGGCTTGGCTATAAAATAAAATTGGTCGGAACGCGCGTTCCACCTTATACCTAGTGCTTTTACACTGCTTGTGTCCTCAAACTCTAAGAAATTTTCACTCAGAAGATGTGCTTTTGGTATGCCTTGCAATATTTTATTGCAATTCGACGTCCATTTTCTAAGTGGGAAACCAGTTGATTTTAAAACTGCAGAAATCTCATCCCTGGCTTTTATCGCAGAGTCAACAGTATGTCCTCCGGCAAGAACGTCGTCGACACACATATTTTTCCGTAAATCGTTCGAGGCTATAGGATAGAGGCTTTCTGAGTCATCAGCTAGCTGGAGTAATGTCCTTATCGCAAGATAAGGAGCAGAATTTATACCGAGAGTAACCGTCTTTAGTTCGTAAATACTAATTGGTTCGTTTGGACACGTACGGAAAACTATTAGTTGGTACTCGTTTGGTTGGCGTCTACAAGAATTTGCCTATACATCTTCTCAATATCGCTATTGAAGACGTATCTAAAAAGTCTCCAGCGGAGAATCAACACTGGTAAATCAGACTGAAGCACTGGCCCTGGAAGAAGAATATCGTTCAGGCTGACACCATTGGCTGAAGACGACGAAGCATTGAAAACCACCCGAACCTTTGTCGTAGTACTCTCTTCTTTTACCACAGCGTGATGTGGTAAATAGTAACTGTCGACTGCATCTGCCGACTGAATTGCATTAACTTTAGACATATGGCCCATTGTCTCGTACTCCATGATGACTCTGTTGTATTCCCTCTGTAAGTCTGGATTTTTTCCAAGTCGAGTTTCGTTCTTGTAAAATTGAGAAAACGCGATTTTGAGTGATGG